TTTTTTCATAAGCCTGCTATGTTATAAATTGTCAATTTTAATTATATCCTACACAACTATGTTTTCAGGGTATTATAACTTTGTGCAGCCCCAAGAGTTTGTAACGCCGCGAATATTTATCCTATATTTATCCCCCCTTTAAATTTACCTATCGTCATATCTCGACTAGCTGAGACGATGTAGACATGAGTGTTCATTCCTCCGTCTGTTCATTTTTATTTGAAAACACGATACAGGCCACAGTTATGGACCAATCGTTACGAAATTTAGCATGTAGGATGGGTTCTGGCCAAAGACGACCCTATTGTTTTTGGTATGTCTCGGTTCTTCTAGTCGCCGTCTAGAGACCACAATAATGACCCGAACACCACGAAATTTTAGAAGAGAAGAGCCTAGCCATGAATAAGCATACCCATTTTGATGAAGATCTTTCTGTATTTAGTAGGTCAAATGGACCCAGACTTTTGTGTGAAAAAATTACAAAATTTGTATTCCAGAGAAGTTGATAGTATAACCAAGATGGGTGGTTGATCTGAAATTGATGCCATTTATATTTCGGTATGTACTCGGATGTGGGAAATATACTTAAATATTTACAGGGGTTTAGTATTACTATTACCGCACTAGAGGGCAGAAATGTCGCGCTGATCGCTTTGATATTTTGGGGGTCAATGGACCGAACACTTTATTTTTGTCTGATTTTCTAGTGACCCTAGAGGCCATTAGTATATACAGAATATCACATATTTTAACTGCTGTTTAGATAATGATCGGTCAATATTCCGTGAGTCAAAACAACAAAAACCTAAAGTGACCAAATTTGTATTTAATGGCGTAAAAATGCCAGGCTTAGAAAGTGGAGCTATTGACCTATAATCGGTCAGGAGAGTGCAAATATCGCGAATATTTGCCCTGGCTCGGAATATAGATCCGCAGAAGCTTAGACTTTAGTGGTAGTTGTGTAGGGTATCATATAGTCGGGCCCGTCCGTCTATACTACTCCGCTCACTGGTTTTTATACCCTTCACCACACTGTGGTACAAGGTATTATGGCTTTGTGCATATATTTGTAACAGGCAAAAGGAAACGAGATGGACTTATGGCTCTGTTTGAGAATATGCATAGAATCACTTTCTGAGGTGACGATTGTCCGTCTGTCCGTCCATGTATTTTTGTGAACAAAGTACAGGTAGCATTTATGATCCGATTTGGATGAAATTTGGCACAGTTCAGTTCGGTTCAGATTTCCATATATAGTTTCGTCCGATTTTATGTAAACTATGAATTAAACTCCCAATAATTGTACGATTGTGACAAAATTTTGCACAGCGCATTGATTCAGATCCATACTTATGTATGCGAAGTTTGGTTGGAATCGATTCAGATTTAGATATAGCTCCCATATATAGTTTCGTCCGATTTTATGTTAATGATGGACCAAACTCCGAAATATTTTTCTGATTGGGACAAAATAATATAGAATAATATAAAATTTTACTGATGTACAGATCAAAGTCCTTAGATTTGGAATATAATAATTTTTCGTAGGCAGATCTGATATGCAAAATACCAATTTCCAACTGATTCTGTTGAAAATCCGATCTTTGGGTTAGCGCTATCCTAAAAAACTGGACAACCATTTTTATACTCAAACGTAGCAAATTACAGTCAAATCGGTTGCAAAATGTGCCATATACGGGACACACCCCATTTTCGGTATTTTGCAGGTTGTAAACGAATTTTAGATTATTTGCAGAAAATTTCCTATGTAGGTCCATGCATTGACATAGCCTCATATATAGATCCCGCACCCCATTTTCAGAATTGTGGTCGTTTTATCCTTTTTTCTACGGGAGGTAACTGTAAAGAGTGTGTAAACGTAATCCTTATATAAAGCCCTCGAGGCAGTTTTCATTTCGAATTATATGAATTATAATTCGAATTTCGAATTATGTGAACATATTTGTAGAAATTCATGTTTTTATATATCACCCATATAAAGGACCCGTCCAATATTCGTATTTTGTAGGTTCTAAGCGCATTAAAGCGAAGGGCTGTAATATAGTATTTCGGGTGTTGGAAATTTTGGCCATTTATTGACATGGCCATATAGAGGTCTTTCTCCATTTTCGGAGTTGTGAATCTTTTGCATTGCGGAGGGATGAACGTAAACCTCACATAGAGGTCCCGTCAGTTTTTTATGGGTTTTCATTTCGATTTTTATTTTCCTTTTTTAAGATCAAATGTAAAATAATAGACAATGCATTGAAATAGAGAAATTTCTTTACCACCACAAGATAAAAAAACTGCCATTTATCTCGATTCATAGATGTAAGAAAAAATTATATTCCTTTCGAAAAAATATTTGTTAAATTAATAATAAAAATATAAAGCATCAAATGTCAGGATTTTAAAAAGTGCACTTGGGAAATAAAAATATATTGTGTTTCATTTTTTTGTATTTTTGTTTGTTTGTTTAATTATCTTAAAGAGTAATAGGAGTTTTTGTGTGTGTGTGATTTTTTTAACAATGATGATATGAAAATATGTAAGTATGTCTATTTGTTTTTCTTAAGTGAGAATTTTTTTAAATTTGTTTTGTTTTAGTTTTAAAGAAAATATTTCTTAAACATTATTTGTTTCTGTTTTTTTGGTTTTTCACTTAATATTGCCTTGGCGGAAGGACAAAGGGAGAGGATGAGAAGAAAAATGTGCTTAACTTAAAAACAAATTAATTTAATTTAAAAAATTAATTGTTACTTAATAATAGGCTTGTTTTATAGCGGCACTGGTTATTAAAAACGCTGATCCAATTAACAAGAATGTGATAATTTTAAGAGCACTTGGCCTACCGGAAGAATCTGCAAGGGAGAGAGAGAAAAAATTTAATTAATTATTGAAATTTGAAAAAGGAATATTTTGTATGACAAATCGGACTTACTTTTCTTACTGGGCGCAACGCGATAACAAACTTTTTGTTCAGCATCACTCTGAAAACCGATTTTACATTGACACACTAGTTACGACATTCAACATTTTCGGGTGATTTTTCGGTAAAACATTCGCCAGCTCGAACACAAGCTTCACCAAGTGCTGAAATAGGAAAAAAAGAAAATTTAGATTTTAATTCCATGAGATGGAGGTTATGTTAATCAGAAAATTTTATAAAAGATTGTCGATCCACGTAGAGCCACGTTTTAACATAATTATATATAAGATTTGACCTATTTGTGGAGGCTTTAGCCAAAGTGAAAAATATATATGGAAAAAAATTCCATATAGGCTTCATTTTCGGAATTTTGTAGTATTAGTCGCATTTTCCCAACGAAGTAGCTGTAATTTTGAATTCCGGGTTTTTGGAGGGTAAAAACATATTTGTGGACAATTTTCGATATAGGTCCTAGTTATGCTATAGCTCCAATATAAAATTACTGTTTTGTAGAATACTTTATATGTTGTTCCATGTTTTGACATAGCCTTCATATACAGATCCCGCCGGGCTACAAAAGAATCGATTTTTGGATTTTGGCCTAATTTAAATATGGCATTCGGGATTCTTGGATAAACATGAAAATGATAAACATTTTTGCTGAAATTTTTCGGTTAAGGTTTTAGGTTTTTTAACCGTTGGTATATCTCCCATTGTAAGGTTCCGCCTCATTTTCCATATTTTCAAAGATTTCAAGCAGTTACTGTAAGTTGGCTTGGATGGTAAAAAACATATTTCCAGGAAATTTTGAATATATATGTCCATATTTGTTCGTCCATATATTGACAGAGATCCCTTTTGAAGGTTCCTTTGTCTACGATATTTTGAAAGTTCTAGTCAAACTTTTAAGCCGAAGTTGCTACAATTTGGCATTCTGAGTTCTTGGAGAGTAAAAGGTAATATTTAAAATGAAAAGCCCCTCATATAAAGGTCTCGTCCCATATTCTGTATTTTAAAGTGTTAATTAGAACTATCATTAAAAATATTTTTCTAGAAAATTTTGTATATAGGTCAATGTTTCGACCTAGCCCCAACATAGAAGTACCGATTCATTTTCAGAATTTTGGAGGTTATAGCCGGATTTTTCAACAGATGTGGCCATAAATTGGCATTCAGGGTTCTTGATTGGCATTCAGGATTCTTGAGCGACATTTTTAAACGAAGTGACTATAATTTTTCATTCCGGGTTCTTCGGTGGATGGAAGATATCTTTGAAGAAATGTTGGGTCCATATTTTTACGCATCACCCATGTAAAGGTCCCTACTCATTTTCATAATTTTGAAGGTATTACCCCATGTTTTCCAAGTAGAGGGATGAAGTTTGGCATTCCGGGTTTGTAGAGGTTATAGCCGGATTTTTCAACAGATGTGGCTATACATTGGCATTCAGGGTTCTTGAGCGACATTTTTAAACGAAGTGACTATAATCTTTCATTCCGGGTTCTTCGGTGGATGGAAGATATTTTTGAAGAAATGTTGGGTCCATATTTTGACGTATCACCCATGTAAAGGGGTCATAATTTTGAAGGTTTTACCCCCACTTTTTCCAAGTAGAGGGATGAAGTTTGGTATTCCGGGTTTGTAGAGAGTGAAAATATTTTAAGGTTCCGGCTCTTGGGACGCGGTAAACAGTGTAGGTCGATATTTTAGTATAGATCTCACATAAAGGACCCGCCCGATTTTTTTTAGTTATGATTTGCATTTTCCTTTTTTGCACAAATATTTTCGATATATCTTGACAATTTAATGGCGTTTCTACATGCTTAATTTATCCCGTCTAAAGGAGGCTTCGGAAAAATCCAAATTTTCTATGAATCGAAGGCCCTTTGAAACGCCATCTGTCAATAGAAGTGTTTTTCAGAAGCCTTGGTTATACTGAAAAGCCATTTAAACTCTGGGATCCTTATCTCGTTTACTGTGCACCACCCTCCAGAATTCTCCTGAAATGCTTGGTAAGGTTTTCTAGTTGGAGAACGTATTCGATATAGAACATATTTTGAAATGTGACTTTCTATAGAAGTCTCTTTTAAAGATCTTCGGTCTAGAAATCCTTTAGAAAGGCCTTCTGTCGGTAGCAGGCCTAATGGCGGATTGTTGGACATCTTCTATGTTTGTCATACCTTCAATTTATATAGGGCTTTCGAAAGGTCTCCCGACAATCGAAGGCCTTTTAAAATGTAATTATTTAAAAGTTAATGTTTATAGAAGGGATTCAAGATACAATCCTTGTATTAAAATCCTATTTAAACCCTTGTATGACTTAAAAAGTTCTTTGTATGCCGCACTCCTCCCATTTTCCTGAAATATGTTGAAAGGTCTACTATCTGAAGGAGTTCTTCTATATAGAACACAATTTCGTCTATACGTGGTGACTATCCTATGGGATAGTTTTAGAAATGAAGTATGCTAAAAAATCTGCATTTTAAAGGATAACGTCTATATTAAAAAAATACCATTCTTTGCCTTTAGAAATCCCTATAAAATATCTTCTGTCCAGAAGTCCTTTTTAAAGGTCTTCAAAGGCCTTTAAACAGGACTTCTGCCAATAGAAAGGTCATTTGTATATAGAAGAACTTTATATAGACCTTTCTTATACTAAAAACCTATTCAAACTCTTGGTTGGCTAAACAAGTTCTTTGTAGGCCACACCCCCCAAATTCTTCTGAAATATTTTGTGAAGTCGATCTGATTTTTTTTGGCAGATAACTGTATATAGAAGTCCCTTTGAAAGTTCTTACGTCTAGAAATTCGGTTAAAATTTCTTATATTTATTGAGGCCTATAGAAGGTATAGGGAAAGCTTGTCTTATGGCTATAGAAGTATTTCCAGTCGTTTTTCTTACTCCAGAAATATTCTACAATGTCTATTATCTTCTAAATATATAAGAGAAATTATATAGAAGGCCCTTAGAAAAATCTTCTGTCTGGAAGTCTTTTCTAAAAGTCTTCAATTTTATAGGACTTTTAACAAGGTTTCTGCAAATAGAAGGCCTTTGGAAAGGTCAAATAGAAGGCCTTCTGTCAACAGAAGACCTTAGCAAACCCATAGAAAACTCCTATGTTGAAAGATGAAGATATTTTGGAAGGTTTGATATCAGACGGAAGAGGCATTCTTTTGGAAGGAAACTATATATCGAAGTCCTCTTGAACGATTTTTTTTAGGATTATCCTAGAAATTTTGTTTAAAGGCCTTCTGTCTATAGAAGGACTTTGGATAAAATATCTTTCTATTAAAGGAATTTTCAGAGAACTTTCCTGTGACCACACTTCAGTATTCTCCGGAAATATTTTGGAAGGTAGTTAGAAGACCTTTTGTATAAAAGTCTATAATTTATAGAGGTCATTTGCAAGACCTTCTATCGATTGAAGCACTTTGAAAATTTCATCTATCTATAGAAGGGCTTTCTGGAGGCCTTTACTATATTAAAAATCTATTTAAATTCTCGGGTGACAAAGGGAGCTCCTTGTAGTAGTCCATACTCCTCGAATTCCCCTAAAATTCTCCAACGGCTTACCTTTTTTGGCTTCACAACGACCATGTTGGAAATGTTGTTCATCGGTGCAGGAACATTTACGATTTATACAGGTGGCCAATAGGGGTTTACACTGATCGGTGTCTTCACATTCATCTTCAATTTCCTCAGCTATAAAGAAAATAAAAAAACACAATAAATATGTTTTCAATAAATTATATCCACACCATCACCCACCTTCCTTGAGGCATTCATCCTTGAAATGGACAAAACCTTTGCGACACTGACACGATTTTCGTTGTTCTTCGGCACCGTTACTGGAAGTTGTTGTCGCCGCACATTGGGCATTTGTAATATTACCACATTCATCGTCATCCATGCAATCGGCGCCAAGGCCTATACAAAAATTGTCATTAATAATTTTTAAAATTCATTGATCAGTGACGGATGCAAATCATTTACCTGGTACACATTGATTATCTTTTTGCATGAAACCATCTTTACAGACACAACGACGATTTGCGCACACGGTATGTTCTATGGGACAGGCATCATTCGAATCACATTCCGAACCCAAACCCTGTTTGTAGACACACATTTCGAGCAGGGCATCATATGCAGCATATTCCTCACAGGTGCAACGTCTAGGAATATCGGGTCGGCAATAGGCAGCACCAAATGGACTACATTGGCTATTCGATGTACAGGATAGATGATATTGGATAGCTGTAGAGAGAGAGGGAAGATGTTTTGAATTAATACTGAGTCCATATGGTAAGAGAAATCGGGAGAAAGAAAAAGGGGATTATTTTATACTTACGTTTACGACATGCTCTGAGATTCCTCTCGAAAAAGAAATTCTTTTGGCAATTACATTTTTTGGATAACGAATCGAATTCATGTTCACACTCGTCGGTACTTTCCGCTATCTCACCCAGTTCTGAAAGGGAATTGAAAAAAAAATATATTTAAATTAATGATTGAAGGGCTTATCAATAAATTCTTTGTAAAAAGTAAACTCGGTAAGTTATTCGGGATGAATTTTTAATATCCCCCATTATAAGGCGGATATTCCAAATATTCAAAATCGATCGGATTTTATACTCTCCATTATAAAGTGGATATTCACAAAATAATCAAAATCGATCGGATTTTTTATGGCGGTTATACCAGGCGGAATTGCTGCCAGAAGAAAATGAATTACTATCTAAAGATAATCCGGCAAAATGAAACGAGATAGACCCATAGTTCCTTTTGAGAATATTCATAGAATCTCTTTCTGAGTCGATTTATGCATGTCCGTCCGTCCGTCCGTCCGCCCGTCTGTCCGTCTGTAGATGTCAAATTGTAAGCAAAGTACAGGTCGCATTTATAATCCGAATTGGATGAAACTTGGCACAGCTCATTTATTTAACCCAAGGACAAACCCTATTGAAATTGGGAAAATCGGTTCCGATTTAGATATAGCTCCCATATATATATTCGTCCGAATGGTGCACCAAAGTCCCTATATATCTTTCGATTTTCACGAAATTTAGCATAACGTACTAAATTGAGTCTAGAGTGACGTCTGTCAAGTTTCGTGATAATCGGTCCAGATGTATATATAGCTCCGATATATATTTTCGTCCGATTTTATGTAAATGATGCCCCAAAGTCCCTATATATCTTTCGATTTGCACGAAATTTGGCATAACGTACTAAATTTAGTCTAGTGTGACGTCTGCCAAGTTTCGTGAAAATCGGTCCAGATTTAGATATAGCCCCATATATATTTTCGTCTGATTTTATGTAAATGGTGCACCAATGTCCCTATATATCTTTCGATTTGCACGAAATTTGGAATAACATACTGAATTAAGTCTAGAGTGACGTCTGCTACGTTTCGTGAAAATCGGTCCAGGTTTAAATATAGCTCCCATATATTTTTTCATCCGATTTTATGTAAATGGTGCACCAAAGTCCATATATATCATCCATTTTGCACGAAATTTGGAATAACGTACTGAATTGAGCCTAGAGTGATGTCTGCCAAGTTTCGTGAAAATCGGTCCAAATTTAGATATAGCTCCCATATATATTGTCGTCCGAATGGTGCACCGTAGTCCCTATATATCTTTCGAGTTGCACGGAATTCGGTATAAGGTACTGAATTGAGCCTAAAGTGATGCCTGCCAAGTTTCGAGAAAATCGGTCCACATTTAGATATAGCTCCCATATATAGTTTCGTCCGATTTCATATATAAATGGTGCACCAATGTCCCTATATATCCTTCGATTTGCACGAAATTTGGCATAACGTACTGAAATGAGCCTAGAGAGATGTCTGCCAAGTTTCGAGAAAATCGGTCCAGATTTCTATGTAGCTCCCGTATATAGTTTCGTCGATTTTATGTAAATGGTGCACCAAAGTCGCTATATATCTTTCGATTTGCACGAAATTTGGCTTAACGTACTGAATTGAGCCTAGAGTGATGTCTGCTTTTTTCGTGAAAATCGGTCCAGATTTAGATATAGCTCCCTTTTATTATAGATTGATTTTAAGTAACGCACCAAGGATTTTAGGTGACGCACCAAGGAACCAATAGGCTGATAGGAACAAAACGTTCTGAAATTACTATAACCTAACCTGTGACATGTTCGTTTTAAATCGCTTAATATTTGGGTAGAGCTTCCATATATATTTTCGCTCGATGTTAAGTAAATTGGGCATCAAACTCCTCATGTAGTCAGATTGACATCAAATTTTGCACAACTTACAAAATTGAGCATAGAATTACGTAGTTGCGTTTTATAGAAGTACAGACATAGCCCAGTATTTGTTTGAAGTCGTTTTACATACTTTATGGATAGATCTAGGTAGATTCACATTTAGATAAATATCACATATTTTATTTCATCCAATTTCATGTTAATAGTCCTGTTCAATATACCCATTGTGGTGAAGGGTATCAACTTTACTACTTTCCTTACTGGTTTTAGTCATAGAGCCCTCACATGGCATTAAACGTCTTATTTTTATTCCTATACATGAATAATGTACGATTAGGACCGTTTCGTCGGACGGACGATACTGTTGAAGTGTGCTTCATGCTTCAACAATTTGTTGGAGTTGGAGAATTCTTGGAAAAATAGTGAAAACATTTTGTATGCTAAATATTCGATATATTAATTATTGGACCTTCCCTTTCAAAACCCTGATCGACTGATCCGATCTGGCCAAATTCCTAAATATTTAAAATTAAATACCCACCAGCAAAACATTTTCCATTTTTGTGATAATAGCCTGGCTTGCAGAGGCACACACCACTGGAACAAATGGAATGGGGAAGTCCAGAGCAGGATTTGCCGTTTTCTGTGCAAGAGCTACCAACTGGAATCGGAATGAAAAACAAAAATTAATTATGATTTTCGACCAAGTTTGCAAACCGTGTACTACATACAATTTCGATTCTCAATATCGTCATCAGTGTTCGACACAGTTGAAAAAGTTTTTTCATCATCATCAAAACGAAATACGGTTGGGCGGCGTCGCTGTTTCGAGGGTCGGCGGCTGCTGGAACTTGTCGAGGCTGTGGTGACGGTGCCAACATTTTTTGTACGCGGTGCTAGAAATTTCAACTCGAATGTATCGATGCTAGTTTGGACGGCAATTTCACGGGAACGATGGGGCTGTTGTTGTTCTTGTTGTTGTTTCCCTACATATACCGATGGTTCAAAATCGATTTCCGTTGCAATTTCCCTCTGCTGATGTTTTGGCGTTTCAGCATGCACAACCTGCTCGTCCTCCGGTTCGGGTTCGCTCAGTATACCCTCGGAATCGGTATCGCTAATACTACGAAAATCGATGTTGCCGTTTACCAATTTCGATTGTTTATCTAAAGCGCTGTCGTTACTGGGCGATGATTTCGAGAGATTCGATGTGGTTTCAGATGCGGATGTGGAAGTTTGTCTTTTTGTCGTCGTTGTTGTTGTCGATGCTGCGGATATAATATTATTGTTGATGTTGTTGTTGTGGATATTATTGTTGCCGTTATTATTGTTATTATTTAGCTTGTCGTTGTTGTTGTTGTTGAGGGTTTTCAGTTTTGTTGCCGTTTTTGCATTGTCCGTTTGAATTTCATCCACATATTGACATTTCAAATTGACACATTTAACATTTGGACCTAAGTCCTGACAATCGGCTGCGACGACACAAGCATCATCAATGTCTGTAAAGGAAATAAGAAACTGTTAGTGTCAATCTTTGGGTATTAACGAAAGTGTCGTTTTTGGTTTAAGTATTTCCTCTTCACCCATTAGAGACCTAATGGGCTAACGCCTGTCCCTACTTACCCATTGATTTACGTCGGCATATATTGCCATGTCTCTGATAATATCCATTGGCACAGGTACACACATTATTTTGACATTGGACCGAATTACGATCGTAACCAAAATAACAATCCAAATCACTGTCACAATACGAATTGAGACCATTCAATGGACGACAGCGACCGTGCACATAGGTTTCATCATCGGCACAAGCACAGACCCCCGACTTACAATAGGCTCCCGCTGGCATAAGATTGCATTGAACGCTGTCTTCACATTCGTCACCATACAGTGACGTCTTCAGACATTTTGTAAAGTCACTGGAGAATACGTGAGTCGGGTCATTACATTCGCATTGGCCATTAATGGGATTACAATTGGAATCGGTTGCTGTGCAATCGGCATCTCCCTCACATGGCCAATAGTAAGCGTTGATGCCTGTAAACACATGAAAGGAAAACAAAATTAGAGATTAGTGTTGTTGTTAAGAGTAAAGAGAGGGCGAAAGAAAGGGAGAGCGAAACGAAGAGAGTGATTCTAGAGGTTAACAACCATGTAATCAATAATATTTTTCAGATACGTATTTTGTTTCTTATCGAATATCGGCAGTAAAACTTTTTATTAGACGATTCATTCAAACAGGTGTTTACGTAGTTTATACGTCTCTTGCTAATCTGCAATATTCGAAAAAAAATACTGATAACGCTACGATTTATTGGAGATTTGTGAAAGAAATAGAAAACTAGAAAATTCAGTCAATGACATTTTGTATATAGTTCTAGGAATATTTTCATATAAAATCCAGGCCTATTCTAAGCCTTGAAAAATATACTTTGACAAATTCACAACGATCCTGAGCCTTAAAATTTTTTCTTTAAAATCCACGATTTTTCTGAGCCTTAAACATTTTTGTTAAACCACAAACAAAAACAAATTCACGACTATCCTGAGCCTAAAAAATGTTCTTTAAACATCAACGCCTATCCTGAGCCTTAAAAAAGTTTTTTGAAACATGCACGGTAATACTGTGCCTTAAAATTTTTTCTTTTAAATATATGCACGTCTATACTGAGCCTTATAAAGGGTTCTTAAAAAATCCACGCGTATCATGGGCCTTAACAAATGTTTAAAATCCCCAGCCTATCCTGAGCCTTACAAAATCCACGTTTATCCTGAGCCTTAAAAACCCACGTTTATCCTGAGCCTTTAAAAAAATCCACATTTATACTGGCCTTAAAAATCCACGTTTATCCTGAGCCTTATAAAATCCACGTTTATCCTGAGCCTTAAAAAATCCACGCCTACTCTGAGCCTTAAAACATGTTCTTAAAAATCCACGCCTATTCTGAGCCCTAAATAAAATGTTCTTTAAAAGTTCACGCCCATATATTCTTTATAAAATCCGCACCTTATGGACCTCCTTGAAATATATCGAAATCTAAAATATTAAATAAAATTCCATTTGTTTGAATACCAAAGTCCTTTGGGGTATCCCAAAAATAGACCCATATTCATAATGATGTGTACAAATATTTTCCGCCCAATGGAAATACAAAATATTAGGAAAAAAAGTTATCTTTCAATTCTTTGAATTCAGGTCCATTATGCCCTTATATAATGCCGTTGCTCAATTTTAGATATTCTAAAGATCCTAACCGCATTTTCTGGTCGAATTGTTTGGAAAAACTTATTTAGGGTTTTAGAGTATAAAATACCTCCACTCAGATATATATTAATATATGTCCATGATAAGTTCCCCGATCGATTTCAAATATTTGTAGGTCCTTGCCATATTTCCCATCGAAGCGGTATTATTTTGACATTTCAATTTCATAGAGGATAATATTCTTAATTGCAAAAGTTTGTGTTTGCAGGTCTATTTTTTGCCAGCCAAGTTTTAGGTATTTTGAAGGTTCTAGTTGTATTTTCTCTTCGAAGTGTCTGAATTTGGTATTTCGTTTTCTCAGAAGATAAAATGTCTTCCCGGAGACAGTTTTATTTCTTTTAAACCCTCCGTCATAGTATGGTGAGTATATTAAATATGATTTTCCGTTTGTAACTCACGGAAATAATCATTTCCGACCCTATAAAGTATATATTAGGTTGGGAAAAAATAAATCCATTATTTTTATATGAACTATAGGACTTTATTTAACATGCTTCGGAATGTCGATTTGAGCCAAATTATGCACCGTTTTTTGTATGATTTGTTGCCTTTTAAGGGTAACTTCATAATGACTCTCTCATAGAACTTCTGCTCTATATTTGCCAAAATCTTTAGTAGTCGATTTTCACAATCCTCCGTAGATATCATTTTTTATTATTAAAGAAATTTTGCAATGCAAGAAAAATATGATATTCTCTTGGTGCCAAGTCCGAATGCATTAAAACTTCCCAACCAAGCTCGCAAAGTTTTTGGCTAGTCACTGTAGATGTGTGTGGCCTAGAGTTGTCCTGGTGGAACACGACACCTCTCCTGTTGGCCAATTCTGGCCGTCTCTGGTCAATTGCTATCTTCAAACGGTCCAGTTGCTGGCAGTATAGATCAGAATTTAGCGTTTGTCCATATGGAAGTAACTCATAATAAATAATTTCCTTCCAGTCTCACCAAATGCATAGCAGAACCTTCCTGGCCGTTAGTACTGGTTTGGACACTGTTTGAGGTGCTTCACCGCTCTTTGACCACGATCGTTTTCGCACAGGATTATCGTATGTGATCCATTTTTCATCTTCAGTTACAATCCGTTTAAGAAATTGGTGTATCTCATTCCGTTTGGCCATGAATTCGCAGATGGAAATTCGATCCATTCTATTTTATTCTGTTGATTGTTGTGACACCCAATCATCCCAATCATAGCTTCCATTTGTGGAAATGGTTTAGAACAGTTTTTGGTCGATTTTTAGCTCCTGGGGGATGTTACGACTGCTAACATACGGTCAACTTTGATAATTTCTCCGATTTTATCGACATTTTCGACGACTAATATAGGGGAGAGGGGGGCACCTTTGAACAGCGCTCATAAAATCTTGGTTTAAAATTTTTCCGACCCGCAACCACATTTTTGTATATGGCAATCTTGTTCTCTATCTGCGTAAACAACTTTGGCTTGCTTTTTCCGTTGTCGACAAATTGTGCATGGGTGACCATGTTTTCGCAGTGTCCTTGTAAACTTTTATTCATTTGGTTGTAAGGGCGCAGGAAGAATTCTGTGATAGATTTCTTTCGTCAAACAAATTTTTTGCATTCTAACAATCATTTCAAACATAACTAATGTAATTTCATTCATATATATTTATTACAAAAAAAGTAATTATAAATTTCCGTAAAATGCCATGGTTGGGGCACCTTTGAACATGCCCAATAAACTCGAGTAAAAAACGGAGTTTTTAATTTTTGGCTTCGATTTCTCAAAATTTCAAATGGGGTAAATAGATTACGAAATTAACTGTAGTTTTCACCATATTAATTTTTGTTTTTAAGTCATTTTATGTTTTAATAAATTTTTATGTAATTTTTTTAAATTTTGAAAATTTTTTATATATTTTTCAATGAATAAATGCATTTCTGATATGTGTTAATAAAATACATACATATTTGAACATAAACACTGTAAAACACCATGTCGTTCAAAAATGCCAACCCTTGTTCAAAGCTGCCCCCTAAGGGGGCAGTTTTGAACACTTTGACTTCGTCCATTAAAACAGTAATAAAATATATTTATCAAGCTTATAGTATGTCATATGTATATTCATTTTAAAGGTTACATATGTACTTATTAGTTAAAATTTATAAGAAACCAAAAATTATAAAATAAAAAATGTATAAGGCTTGAAAGCAAAAAGTGTTCAAAGGTGCCCCCCTCTCCCCTATTCTTGATCGCCATATGACGATCTAAGCAGTCCGTCTGTCTGTTGTAATTACTTTGCCATATAAATGAATTGAGATATATCGCCAAAATTTTGCGTAGAGTCATCATTTTTCTGCATAGAGGTCAAGTTCAAAGATGGAATATATCGGTCCTCGTTTAGTTATAACTACCATATAAAGTATCCCATATCGGTATTTTGGAGTTCTTGAGCACGTTTTTAAATCGAATTCGCTGAAATTCTGTACATTGGGTTCTTATTGGATACCAAATGTCTTTGCTAAAATGTATAAATATAGGTCCACTTTTCCGGTACCCCCATGTAACGGTACCCTCAGTATTTTGGAGGTTTTGATCGTATTTTTCAACCGAATTCTATAAAATATGGAATTCTAAGACGATTTAGCCATCTGTTGTAAACATCCCGCCTTCTAAAGATATCGTGATAAAAACTCGAACCTGTCGATAATGTAGTATATCTGCCACAATTCACCCAAATATTCATAACTGCTTAAGGAATGTATTGTGATACAAATGGAGCTATATCGGTCATTAATTAGGCATACCCCCTCATGTATTGATAACCCCAAATGTTCTCTAATTCCTACATTATGTAATCAATATTGTTTTACACTCTAATTTGCATTTTAAATGTACACTCTAAATTGCAGTAGTTTGAGGATTTTATACAGATGTTCCACTCTAACATGCTCTATCAAGATCGGTCCACTTTTAGGAGTTTTCAGTTTCCCTATATTTTCCGTTGAAGTATGTCAGTATACCTATGGTATACCTATGGTCGTGGGTATCTAAACTTGACCTTTTCCACTTTTTTGAGTCTACGGTTGTACGAATAGAGCTATCGTAGCAGTTTTTAAACTGACTCATTCAAAATTTTCCTTTGGAATACTTGAGCTATTTATTCATAAATTCGGGATTTGTCACCATCTATGACTGTCTGCTAGAAGTCTGAGTCATCGAGGACAAATTCCACATTTCATGTCGCTTATAGCGACCTATTTCGTCAGCCTCTCAACAGTCGAAATAAGAGATTTCGACTTTTATTTTTATAAAGTAATCACTTTATGATACAATCCTTCTTTTCTTAAGAATCCCAATTTTTAGGGAATGTAAGGACACACTCCTTTCTCAAGGCATTAATAACTTTTTGTCAAACTATTTCCACTTCTACATTCTTTAAATTATAATTACCCTTAAATGAGCTCTTTCACATTCAACTTTCTTTAAGAAATAATTTAGAATGTTTTAAATTTTAAGTTTTAATAAATCAGAAAAAATAAAATAAATCATCATATTTCCACGTTTTTGTGTCATGTCATGTCGTTTTTTTGGACTTTCGTTCGTTAAGTTCTGATAAGAAACAAACACTTGTTTAACGAAAATGAAAACATGGCACGAGAACGCGCTCGCTCGCTCTCTCTCTCTCAAAAGAAGGTTAACACGAAAGTAATGCTTTCGAATATTAGTAAATATATAAATCTTATTTTGGGAGTGGATTGCAGAGATGATGGAGTGCCAAGGGGAAATATTCGTTAATCAAATGTTTCACAT